TACTTTTACTGTCGCTACTTTCACTATATTTTGATGAGAATACTTTTCTACTTTTACTTGAGGAACATTTTGAATGCAGGACTTTTAATTGTAAGTATTCTTGCACTCTGGTACTTCAACTTGTACTCAAGTACATGATCTGAGTACTTCTACTTTTACTCAAGTACAAGATCTGAGTACTTCTCCCACTTCTGGTGAATTGTAGGCAAATAAAATAATAAAATAAAGTGCAGCATTCTTCCAGCAGATGGCAGCAACCAATCTACGCATGCACCTGAAAATGGACAAGGAAGCGGATATTCGTCATTTCTTTAGCAAATTATTGCGTTTGTTTTGGTGAAAGCTAAACTGTTAAGTTAGTTAGAGTAAACACATTCAACTTCTGCCGGGGCCCTTCAACTTAAAACATTTATCGATACAAATTGATGATTTAGTTCTTAATTTCACTTGCTAAATCAGTGCTATATAATAAAACAAGGAGTAGCCTTTATAACATATTGATTTGATGTGTTTCGTTTTAAAAAGGTAGAAAAAAAACGAGTGTGTAATTTTATTTTGAAGGTGAATTCTGTTCTCTTCCGGTTGCATTTGTGTCGATTCGTGTTTGTGTTGACGCCGTGCTGCCAACATATAATTCAGTAGCCTGTGCGGGTAAAATCGCCCAACATGGCACCATAAAACTGGGTAAAAAACACGGTTTCATGCTCCACAGGTGACCGGAGTCAGGCAGCTTTTTTCCCGGGAAACACCGCCGCCTGTGCGGGGTCTGGAGCGGCGACAATGAGCTCGGAGCACCGGAGCGACAGCGAGGACGCGGCGGAGGAGGAGAGGCCCAACAGCGGCTCCAGCGACAAAGAGGAGGACCCCGACCTGGACGACTCGGATGCGGAGGATGAAATCGCCCCGACAGTGTCTCCTTCGCCCCCGGGGAGCGGTGGGATCAGGCCGGAGCGCAGAGCGAGGTCCACGGCGTCAGAAGCGGCAGGAGAGCCGCGCTGCGATCCTGCCGCGTCCACCGCGCCGCAGCCAGGGAGCGGCGAGGCGGCAAGCGCGGAGCTCCGCAGCGGCAACAGTGTGTTCTCCTGGCTGCAGAGCAGGACTATAAGACGGGGGGTGTTTGTGGACCCTGCCCGGGATAACTTCCGGACAATGACCAGTTTGTACTGCTCCATGAACCCGGCCGCGGAGTCTGTGAACCTGAGCACTCAGACCCATGGAGCGGTGTTCAACCTGGAGTACTCCCCCGACGGGTAAGAGGGTATTATGGGCCTTTAACCCCGAGTTATGCAGACAGGGAAGCGACTTTTTGAGTTGAGTTTATTAACAGTGCAATGCCTGGGTTAATTTCCCTATGCAATTTCCTGGGAAGAGCCTGGTGTAATCATCCTCACTGCTTCCATGTCTCTGGATTCACATCATCCAGGGATCACTTCACCTGTCAAGGAAATTGGATTGGACAGACAGACAAAATACATCTTTATAGAAATGTGAAATGTCTAAAATTAGATGCAAAACGACAAAAAATGACCACAAACGTCCTCAACCAGAAAGCACACACATAATGACTACAAATGACCCAAAACAACTACACAGAGATCTGAAGCGGCTGAAAATAGATTCCAAGCGACAACAAGGAAACACAAAATGACAAAATAGAGGGGTAAGAGGATATGTTGGGCCTTTGAGTTATGCAGACAGGTTACATACTTTTTGAGTTTATTACCCGTGCATGTTTCTGGAAAGTGCCTGAATGCACCGTACATTCATCCTCACATGCTTCCATCTCTCTGGACTTCACATCATCCAAGGATCACTTCCCCTGTCAAGGATATGCATGGGGAAACACAACACGATTATAAATAGACACTAAATGACCAGAGAGACAGATAAAAGGCCCAAAAACATACACCTCAAGGATGCAAACAACCATACACAGCTGCAAAGACATAAGAGGCAACTATTTAGAAACGTAAAATGTCAGAAATTAGATGCAAAACGACAAATAATGACCACAACCATAGTCAACCAGAAAGCATAACTACACCGAGATGTGAAGCGGCTGGAAATAGATTCCAAACGACAACAAGGAAACACAAAGTCACTCAAAATAGAGGCAACACGCTCTCCATTAAAGTTATGTTAGGACAGACTCCCCCGGTGCGTTAGAGCAGTGGCTCTCAACTGGTCAGGCCTCGGGACCCACTTGTTCCTTTGTCAATAGATCGCAACCCGAAATTTGAACCACTCAAATCTATTCAACAAAAAATCGTGCTGTAATGTATACGCCTTTCAGCATACAGTATTAATGAAAGTGAAGTGCAGTGCATATATCCCTTATATCCCTTCACAGAACTAAAGCATGCTTTTAAATAAGGTTTAATGAGATGATGGAATCAAAGATGAACTGTATAACATCAAAAGGCTCACATGCTGAAAACCCAACCCCAGCAGGGGGTCTGGGGGGATTCTCCCCCAGGAGATTTTTAGAAATACTAACATAAACTATGCATTCTGGTACTCTGAGAAGAAAATAAATACATCTATTACTACCCGACATATTAATAATATTGTATGCCATTGTTTGTTTTTCACTTAGTTCTGACAGCTTGCTGCTCCTCACAGAGAGAAGAGCAAAGAGGAGAGAGTCTGTGTGACTTACTTTAAATTGTGGGTAAGGGTAGATAGCCCCCATTGTTCTGTGACCTGTCAGTCATCAGACCGGGGGTCATATTTCATTATGTGTTCATTGTTATCTGAAGTTGTACTCATGGATGTATAAAGAAGAGTTCTACCGCAAAGTTATTCTCCGTGGGGACTTCCGGGAACACTCTTGATTCTGATTGGCCAGAAGACTCGAAAAAACATCAGCAAAGATGTTTTATTGAGAAGATGATCACTACGTGACAGAAGTAAAAGTAATACAAGTTTGACTTTTTAAAAAAAATTCTTCACTCATACATTTGCGACCCACTCGAAGCGGGTCCGCGACCCACCAGTTGAGAACCACTGCGCTAGATGATATTATGCCTTTAACCCAGAGTTATGCAGACGGGGTACTTTCTGAATGTATTACCAGTGCCGTTTCCTGGAAAGTGCCTGAATGCATTATTAAATTCATCCTCACTGCTTCCTCTCTGGAGCAAGGTTCGCTTCACCTCGCAGTCAAGGAATATGCACGGGGAAAAAACACAAAACTCAAGTTAAACCAACTTAAAGAGTAAAAAAAAACTAACTAATAGCTTCTACAAACAACCATAAACTGATGCAAAGACATACAATACATCTATTTAGAATTGTTACCTGTCAGAAATGAGATGAAAAATGACTAAAATTGACCACAAATTAACTAAAAAATATATTTTAACTGACAACAAGGAAGCGTAGGACTAAACATGGATGCAAAAGGACGAGGAGTTGATAGAAAACAATCACAGAGACACAGAACGAATGGTGTCTTTTGGAGAGACTTCGAAGAAGACAGTGTCAGGAGGACGAGCCATGTTTACCATGTTCTTATATATTAAAGGCATTCTTACATTTCTCTGAGCAAATTGCAGATACAGTATCTATCCGTACAGTAGCCCAAAATAATCATGCTTATGTGCCTGTGTACTTCGCTCCTTTAGTCTGCCATCAATTATTCCGTACATATATAATTGATCTTAGTTAGAAGTTGTTCTTGTGGGTTTATGCATTGTTGGAGCTGTTTGTGTTGAAAACCACGATAAGAAGATCTGCGGATTAGAATAGAATAGATAGGAAGCATTTATTGTCATTATACAACGAGAAGAGTAAAGCTACTCCTTTTTAAGGTGCAATCAAAACATTCAGAAAAGACAACAAAGACATGCAGCGTCATACATACATAAAATAATAACAAAATAAAATGCAGGACATAATTCAATAGCAAAATAACAAAGATTTATGGTTTGAAACGTGGCCCTGGACATCCCTTAGTTCGTCCTCTCGTGTGATTTACTCGTGTTTCCGTGCTCAGGTCGGTGCTGACGGTGGCCTGCGAGCAGACGGAGGTCCTGCTGTTCGACCCCATCTCCTCCCGACACATAAAGACTCTGACGGAGGCTCACGAGGACTGCGTCAACAACATCAGGTAAACAATCACACTGTACATTTCTGTTCTCACTCGTCCCCGGCTTGAGCTTCAACCTCAGGATCCATGTATCTGTGGTCCTCTCCAGAATGGAAGGAGTCATCACATACAGAGCATCAACTAGTTCCTGAACAGTGTCCTTCACATGCTGATATCCAAGAGAGGGAGTTACACAGTCACAAGATGGAGGAATAGAAAGCAGTATTCAATGTTTACTTCAGATTAGCTCCACGTCAGAAATGAGCATGCTTGTCATATGTCCATCTCCATAGAGGCTGAATCATCAACCTGTTAAGCCCGAAGGTCCCCGCCGGCGGGTACTTTAGTTTTTTTTTTTTCACGACACTGTGTCTCAGGGGATCTTAATATTTAAGAGCCTATTAATGTGTTATACCAGATTAACGGGAATAATCTCAGCTAACTGACGATACAAACCATGTTTACCAAAACAAAACACAAGTCTCATAAGAAGCATCTAAATGACCCTTGAGCGAAAAATGCTAACCTATTACTGCACCGATAATCACTCCTAGCTCCCTTATTACTTATCCTAGGTGCACATCCAACACATCGTTTATGATCGCAAGGAGACACAGAATCTCAAACTCGCGACGTTATCAACAAAAACGTACATCAAAACAAGTGGCGCTAGGTAGCCCACAACGCTAACATGGCTTACCTTCGTCTTTGTCTGGTCTAAACTGGTCTTCAATGGCAGTAAAACGATAAAAACGATGGTGTAGTTAATCCATAGGTTAATCCAATGTGACTGCGTCCCCTTTGAAATGTTCTGATAATCCATAAGCAATAAAACAGCTTTTCCGTTGCTTGATATCAGAGCAGCGATATTTCTCCCCTCTCCTGCAAGCTAGCATGCGCAGAGAGGCCACCATTTTTTTTTAACATGAGTGTGTGCGGGACGATTCCCCTCGATTCCATTGGCTCTGACGGTCAGAAAGAGATGTCACATGTCAACATCCAGCAAGGGGGGCCAGAGATATGGAAAATCCACCCAAATGGCCCCAGAAGAGGGTTTTTTTGCTAAATCTCTCTAAAAAGGTCAAATATCACTTGTTTTGCATCAATCTTGATACAGGGAACTTATTATATGTTGTACTTTGGATCCCTAAAGCTTTTAGTCTACTAACCCATCATCCAAGGTTAGTTTTCACTATAAGTACAAAATAGTTTTTGGACGGACACTATAATTTACAGTTTTTTACCATGTTCAATCTGAATTTTCTTTAAAATAGAAAACATCTATATTGAATCTGACTTCTCTACATCCAACTCACAGGTTTATCATTACTTTGAGAAAAAAGATTATTAATTTAACCCTTTTAGAAGGGAAGATATGGTCATTTGTTCTGGGAATGTCATGTTCGAGCCTGAGACCTGAAAAACAGGCTTGGGGCCTAACAGGTTAATCACATAGCTATCATACGCCTCAAACAGTCCTGATGCTCTTCTAGGTAATCACACATCCTGTCATGTTCACAGCTACAGTTGGGATACCTTTGTTATCATGTTACTCTCATGTTGGAAGTATTGTACAATGCCTTTGTCTTTTTATGCTGCTGCAACGCAAACATTTCAAATTGGGATCAATAAAGTACTTCTTATCTCTTATCTTATCATCGTCAGGGGGGGTCATAAAGTTCGCCTGCAGCATCCTGGCAGAAAAGGACACATTAAATTCAAAGTGCAGGGGTGAATACAATCAGCTGCTTTCCATATCTTAAAGGTCCCCTGTTATACTGTTCTTCATCAATATATCACAGGTCTCAGATATATAGCCTGTCTCTGATTGGCTGAAACACCAAACAGATCATTGCAGCATTACCCATAATCCCCTCTGTTTCAGCCCTGTTTCCAAAGTGCTGATTCTCTGTCTGTTACTTTAGATGAAAATAAGGAGCCCCTCCCCACGCCCCTCTGAGAGAGATTTGGTTACAAAGAACTCAATGGTGCTCTAGGAGGAGATTCAGGCGATAAGGTGGGGGTGGGGGGGGTTAATGTTGATGTAGAAGAGGGGACACATGTTGATGTAGAAGAGGGGACACATGTTGATGTAGAAGAGGGGACACATGTTGATGTAGAAGAGGGGACACATGTTGATGTAGAAGAGGGGACACATGTTGATGTAGAAGAGACATGAAGACATGAAGAAGAGGGGACACATGTTGATGTAGAGAGACATGAAGAAGAGGATTTTGCATAATAGGTGACCTTTAAAGTCTTCTTCTCCCTGCAGGTTTTTGGACAATCGTCTGTTCGCCACCTGCTCCGACGACACCACCATTGCATTGTGGGATCTGCGTAAGCTGAACTCGAAGGTGTGTTCGCTGCACGGCCACGCCAGCTGGGTGAAGAACATCGAGTACGACACCAACACCAAACTGCTCGTCACTTCGGGGTTCGACGGGAACGTCATCACGTGGGACACCAACAGGTGAGAGAGAGGAGATTTTAGGTTTAGTCATTGGACTCCTTTGTTTACTTCCTGAACATAGTGACATCACTTGCGCTGCTATTTGCTAGCGCTCCAACATATTGTACGTTTTCCTCAGTTTCCCCTCTCCTCTAGTGTGTTCTATAGGTTTTAGTGCATGTAAATGGTCTGCAAAGGCTAAAATCCCAGTGTCCCCATCAAAGGGAGTTTCTATCCCCCCCCCCCTCACAGTTAGGCCTGTCGCGATAAGCAATTAATTGACCTATCGTACGATAACAAAAAATGAACTCGATAACTTTTCTGACCTCGATAAATTGCCGTTTACATGCGTGTTTGTTTACATAAGGATGTGACCAGCATTTTAGCCCGGCGCGCTGTGGCTGCCGGCCCGGCGCGCCGTGAGGGGCGGGGCTCACACACAGCCAGGTCAGGACACTCCGCGCGCAGCGTAGCAGCCTAATGAATAATATAGAGACAAGCAGGAGACAACGTGTGACTTACTCGAGGGGAATTTGAAGTTAAATGGAATTGGTTGCAAAACCGAATACCACATCTCCGGTGTGGGAATATTTTGGATGTAAGCCAAATCAACGAGGCGAACCTACGGACTTGAATGAGCCGGGCGGTGTGTCGCATTTGTTTTAAAAAGGTAGCAACAAAAGCAGGCAATACGACCACCCTTAAACTGCACCTGAAACACAACCACCCCATTCCGCTTTCCCAGCTTGGAGCAAACACGGCAGCTGGAGATGGAGAGCCCCCACATTCCTGACTTACTTTATTTAAAAAAAAGTGTTCAGTGTGTTCTATAGGTTTTAGTGCAGGCATCCTCAAACTACGGACTCCGGTCCGGATCCGGACCGAACCAGCACTGTCTCCGGACTCTGAGCAAATTATACTTTTCATATGTATTATCTCTCTGTATTATATGTGAGACATCGCCACAACGCATTCGCAACGAGTCAAAATTCTCCGCTATGTCCACTGCAAACAGCGCTCTGCATGTCTGACTGTTCCACTGTGTTCCACCTGTGTGTGTCAACGCTTTGGTCCAATCACATTCAGCATCCAGTCAGCGTTTTTTTCCCCCAAACAATCTGCGAATCAGAGGCACAGTAGGGCGGGTCTTCGTGGAATGCGGGTGGGAAAAATGTGTGTGTCTCTTTCAACCTGTCTAAGTCAGAGCGAGAATTAAAACAAAAACAAAAAAAATTCAGAGCGAGAGTTAACAGCTCATCTAGTTCCATCTGTACTGTAGCTAGTAGCCTAGTTTCACCTACCGGGGTGGCAACTGACACCCTAAAAATAGGCCTTGCCACCCCAGCTGCCACCCCAGTTGGCAGCTTTGTTTTGAAAGAAAAGTTGTGGCTCATCGGACATTTATGAGAGAAAGTCTCTAATGTCCGAGTGCAAGTGAATGCAGCACAAGATGCACGTCATGTAACCCCTCCCCCGGTCCTGGCGCGAGCGTGGACATATGATTGGCGGCGATTTCATTTTTAACTGGACGGCGCAAAACGAGAAGCATTCGGACCCAAGCACTGAAGGAATGAGGTATTTGCGGTCTGACAGAGAAGAGACTGTCAGTGTGGCTGTACTCAGCATTGAATCAAAACGCACTAAAGCTGTTGATCTTAATACGTTTGTGAGGCGTTTTGCTGAACAAAATGGTAATCGCCGCATTCAGCTGTAATAGACAACTTGATGCTCTGCTCACGGATGAGCATACACAACTATTAAGATGATGACCTTACGTGTGTAAATATATTTTTTTCTTTGAGGGGGTCTGCCCCCAAAAAACTGTTTTAAGTCCTGAGAAAGTCAAATAAGACGGTGTTTAAAACTACACTGCCCAGCCAAAAAAAAGTAACCACTTTGATTTAACTAGGCCAGTAGGTAAGGACTTTCCACTGGATAATAACTGCAGTATAAAAGAATGCATGACTGAAGTGATGGAGACCATGTGAAGGCAAACAAAAAGAGGAAATAACAGGTCAAATCAAACAAATCCCCCTCTCAGATTCCACAGCAACCAGAAGAACATAAATACTGGCTGGTGATTTGATTCATCAGCTTTGTGATGGAATATAAAATGCACAGTGCATTTCCTTAGCTGTGGGTGAGTCCACTGACACCACTGACAATGCTCAGTTGCTGGTGTTTGTGAGTTTTTATGATGAGGCAAAGGGGGAGTTTGTTGAAGATGTGTTGGGCCTGACGAACCTCAGTGGACACACAAGGGGCAAGACATTTATAAAGCAATAATGGGAATGCTGAATGAAAGAGGGTGCAGCTGCCTTTATTCATAACTGTGCAGCTCTTACACTGCGACTCTGAGGGGTCAAGCACAGACACAATAACAATGAAAACTGCTGCATACAGATTATTTTTGTTTTTGCAACCTCGTGTTAAGAATCTTGTTGCAATTGTTTAAAAGTTTGAATGACCGTAATAAACGGACCTTTGTCTTATTGAAACATTTATTTTGGACCTTTAAGATTTGTATTTGAGTACCCCTGTTTTAGTGCATGTAAATGGTCTGCAAAGTCTAAACTCCCTCTGTCCCCTCCAGAGGGAGTTTCTCTCACACACACTCCCTGAAAGGCCTCAATTGGACTCCTTTTTAATTCCTGAATATTACATTACATTACATGTCACTGCATTGTTAGACGCTTTTATCCAAAGCGACTTCCATACATTCAGTACTGAGGACAATCCCCACAGGAGCAATTTGGGGTGAAGTGTCTTGACATGCTGACTGCAGCGGGGTTTGACCCCCTGATTCAAAGTCCAGCATACTATCGACTGAGCCACAGCCGCCTGTTGAATATAGTGACATCATTACAGAACACTTAATAATAAATAATAATACATTTAATTGATATAGCGCTTCTCATCTGCCAAGACAAATCTCGAAGTGCTTCACAACAAAGGACACTGATAACATTTGAGGGATAAAAATAAAAAAAAGTCGGAGATAACAATGGCAGTACTCCAGGTGTGCCATGCTCAAAGTTTATTGGAAGGCCTGCCGAAAGAAGAGGGTCTTAAGGCCGGTTTTGAAGACCTCGGTGGAAGGGGCAGATCTCAGCTGATCTGGGTGGGAGTTCCAGAGGCGCGGGGCGAATGAGCAGAAGGCTCGGTCTCCTATTGTTCGGAGACGTGTGCGGCGGGGATGTAAAGAACAGGAGCGGAGAGAGCGGGGAGATGTCTGTGTGCGGATGAGGTCACAGATTATTGCAAAAATCATAATCTCGATTATTTGTCAATAATTTATATCACGATTATTAAAAACGATTATCCATTTACTTTGAAAACATCCATTTATTGAAAAAAGAAATGTGAACAGAATGTTTTTAACAGTTGATTACCCTGAACTTTAAGTAGAATTCAACTGAAAAACCAATACAAAAAAAAAAAAGTCGTTTTATTTCGATGACGTTGTTTTCGTTGCAAGCCAAAATCGTAATTGCGATTTAAAATACGATTAATTGAGCAGCCCTATCACAGAGGTATTTTGGGCTTTGTCCATTCAGGGCTTTGTACGTGAGGAGCAGAACCTTAAACTGGATCCTGTAGTGGACTGGGAGCCAGTGTAGTTGTGCAAGTATGGGGGTTATGTGTGGCGTGTGGCACAGTGGATCGAGCGCTGGTGTTCAAACCCCACTGCAGTCAGCATGTCGTTGTGTCCCTGAGACACTTCACCCCAAATTGCTCCGGTGGGGATTGTTTCTTTGGATAAAAGCGTCTAACAAGTAACATGTAATGTGTGCAGACCTGTTTGCACCGGTGAGAACTCTGGCTGTACTGTTCTGGACAAGTTGCAGGCGGTGATGGATTTGGCGGGGAGACCGGAGAGGAGTGCATTGCAATAATCTAGTCCTGTCTTTCGGTGTCATCAGTTGAGTGAGGGCTTCAGTCGGGAAATGTTTTTCAGGTGAAAGAAGGAGGTCTTGGTGATGTGTTTGATGTGGGCTTGGAAAGACGGAGTGGGGTCAAACCTTACACCGAGGATGGTGACAACGCAGGAGAGAGAAATGAGCTGACCATCAAGGGAGGGGCTGATGTTGGCGGCCTTGGCAAGCTGGTCGGTGGAGCCTATCAGGATTGCCTCCGTCTTGCTGCTGTTGCGCTGGAGCTAGTTGGTGGTCATCCAGGAGCGGATGTCTTCCAGGCAGGTGTTTAGTGTTTGGATAGTATCGGTGGTATTGGGTTGTGTTTTGATATAGACTGGGTGTCGTCAGCATAGCGGTGGAAGTTGATGTTATGTCTGATGATATGACCCAGAGGTACTAGATAGATTACACTTGTGCTTCTATTGGCTAGCGCTCCAACACATTGTACGTGATAGGCTAAGGGGCGGGACATCTCTAAGCGGTTGACCAATCCCAACAGAGCCGACCACCAGCTAACCAATCAGAGCAGACTGGGCTCTGGTTTCAGACAGAGGGTGAAGAGAAGTGCTGCAGCATGAGATGAATAAAGAGCTTTTTCAACATTGCTATCACTTAATATTGAACCAGGATCTAAAACGTCAAAACTAATAAATCTCTGTCTTTATAAAAGCCCTTTCCCTTCAAGCCGATGTCAAATAAAACCTTCCCCTTTATCTCTGTACGGTTTTGTAAATGGGTTTTCTGGCTGTGATTGGACATGATTCCTCCTGAAGAGCTGGAGTTTCTCTCCCTCTAGACCAGTGGTTCTCAACTGGTCAGGCCTCGGGACCCACTTTTGGGTCGCGACCCACCAGTTGAGAACCACTGCTCTAGACAGGCCCTTTGTTTCCAAGCCATTCTAAAGAGAATACCGCTTTTGTTTGCCATTTGCTTTGTATGGTTTTATTTTTTATTTTGGTGTCTATTATGAGAACGTGTTTACTTCTCTCATTTACTCAGTTTTTTTATTTACATTGTTGTTGTTTTCTTTCATGCTGGGGTATATTTGATCTGCTTGTTGGCAGTCTGGTTTAAATGTGCACTGTTGCATCTACAGCAGTGCTTCTCAAAGTGTGGTCCGCGGACCACTGGTGGTCCGTGAGTATACTGTAGAGCAGAAACACTGCTCTACAGTATGTATTTGACTGTCCAATGACATTCTGTATGATTGTTCTTTATAATGTAAACATTCAAAAATAAAGTTTTAAAGGACAGACGGATAAAAAAAATAAGAGAATACCTCTGATCAGTGTTTCCGCCAGACCAGGGCTGAGAGGGCGTCCACCCTGAGAGCGGGGGGGGGGTTGTCACGTCGTGTCACATGACTTGAATTTTGAATTGAGCCGTCCCTTTATAGATACTATCTCTTTACGTATTAGTGATGGGAATTCCGGCGCTTCTTAGTGAGCCGGATCATTTGGCTCGGCTCACTAAGAAGAGCCGGCTCCCAAACGGCTCTTCATGTTACCACAGTTCACCACGGAGCCTCAGTTTCGCCGCTGCGAGGCTCCGGCGCTCCACTAGCACCCCCCGCCAAGGCTCGCCGGCAGTACACTTTCGGTCACAGGAACACGCTTTGCTGGTGGCGAAAATAATCCCACCAGACTCCTTTCCCCCTCCAACAGAAGGACGTCCTTGTCCTTTTTCCTTTTCGTCATTTCAAGCGATAAAAACTCGATCTTCTCTCGAATTATAGATTTTTTGTCAAATGACGGCAAGACGCCCCCCTGGCGGAAACGCTGCCTCTGATCTATTAAGCCCTCAAACCTCCTGTTTGTCCCTCTGCAGGTTCACGGAGGACGGCTGCCCGCACAAGAAGTTCTTCCACACGCGGTACCTGATGAGGATGCGCCTGACGCCCGACTGCTCCAAGATGCTCATCTCCACGTCCTCGGGGTACCTGCTGATCCTGCACGACCTGGACCTCACGCAGTCTCTGGAGGTCGGCAGCTACCGCATGCTGCGAGCCCGGAGGACCCCCCTCAGCTCGGGTAGGGAAACACTCACCAGCAAGATTCCAGATTCAAGGGTTTTATTGTCTTATGCACAAAGCTAGTGTGGAAATAGCAATGAAAATCTTATGACACACATTGCATGGATACAAATGCATTGTTTTTAACAGTACTTGCTGAGCCCTGGTGTTTTTATAGAAACCTGAAAAATTACATTTATTGTGTTTTACGTTGTTATTGTATCTTGTAATATTAAAATGAAGACTTTCCATATTTCAGGCTGGTTCCATTATTGAAATCCTTCGTTGACTCACCATGAGCATCTGTTGTTATTGTCCTCTCGATTGTGATTTGTTGTAATTAAAACGTTTATTTATTTCCGCCCCTCAGACGGAGGCTCGTCAGCGTCTCGGTCGGCAGGAACTCCTCGTCACGGAAACGACTCGAGCAAGATCCACGCTCCCAGAGAAGGTCAGAGGAAAACATATCTCATCATCATAAAGTCAGCCTGAAGCATCCTTTGTGCTCCAGTCAGTCCTCTCAGTAAACACAGAGCTGAATCCAGATCCGATGCTCGCTGAAGGCTCTCAGGTTTTCTCTCAGTGATCGTGTTGTTATGTTCAATGTTTGTTTTTCATGTATTGTGTCTTGATATTTGTCTGTTGGTGTTACACATGGAGCTGCCGTGAAGCAAGGAGCATTGGTTGTTTTTGATCTGACCATTAAAGGTCACCTATTGTGCAAAATCCACTTCTTCATGTCTCTTCTACATCAACATGAGTCTCCACTTCTTCATGTCTCTTCTACATCAACATGTGTCCCCTCTTCTTCATGTCTCTTCTACATCAACATGTGTCCCCTCTTCTTCATGTCTCTTCTACATCAACATGTGTCCCCTCTTCTTCATGTCTCTTCTACATCAACATGTGTCCCCTCTTCTTCATGTCTCTTCTACATCAACATGTGTCCCCTCTTCTTCATGTCTCTTCTACATCAACATGTGTCCCCTCTTCTTCCATGTCTCTTCTACATCAACATGTGTCCCCTCTTCTTCATGTCTCTTCTACATCAACATGTGTCCCCTCTTCTTCATGTCTCTTCTACATCAACATGTGTCCCCTCTTCTTCATGTCTCTTCTACATCAACATGTGTCCCCTCTTCTTCATGTCTCCTCTACATCAACATGTGTCCCCTCTTCTTCATGTCTCTTCTACATCAACATGTGTCCCCTCTTCTTCATGTCTCTTCTTCATCAGCATGTGTCCCCTCTTCTTCATGTCTCTTCTACATCAACATGTGTCCCCTCTTCTTCATGTCTCTTCTACATCAACATGTGTCCCCTCTTCTTCATGTCTCTTCTACATCAACATGTGTCCCCTCTTCTTCATGTCTCTTCTTCATCAGCATGTGTCCCCTCTTCTTCATGTCTCTTTCTACATCAACATGTGTCCCCTCTTCTTCATGTCTCTTCTACATCAACATGTGTCCCCTCTTCTTCATGTCTCTTCTACATCAACATGTGTCCCCTCTTCTTCATGTCTCTTCTTCATCAGCATGTGTCCCCTCTTCTTCATGTCTCTTCTACATCAACATGTGTCCCCTCTTCTTCATGTCTCTTCTACATCAACATGTGTCCCCTCTTCTTCATGTCTCTTCTACATCAACATGTGTCCCCCTCTTCTTCATGTCTCTTCTACATCAACATGTGTCCCCTCTTCTTCATGTCTCTTCTACATCAACATGTGTCCCCTCTTCTTCATGTCTCTTCTACATCAACATGTGTCCCCTCTTCTTCATGTCTCTTCTACATCAACATGTGTCCCCTCTTCTTCATGTCTCTTCTACATCAACATGTGTCCCCTCTTCTTCATGTCTCTTCTACATCAACATGTGTCCCCTCTTCTTCATGTCTCTTCTACATCAACATGTGTCCCCTCTTCTTCATGTCTCTTCTACATCAACATGTGTCCCCTCTGTGGAAAGAGACTCTGAAAATTTCAGGAACAAAGATTCTCTCTCTTTTTGATCCATTTCTATAAAAACCTGTCTGAAAATGAGCTGATCAGATTTTGGCCACTTTATGATGTCATAACGATGTTTGGTCTTGTGTAACCATTAGCCAATCAGCAGCCAAGGTAACCCCCCCCCCCCCCCCTTATCACCTGAATCTCCTCCTAGAGCTCCATTGAGTTCTTTGTAACCAAATGTCTCTCAGAGGGGCGTGGGGAGGGGCTCCTTATTTTCATCTAAAGTAACAGACAGAGAATCAGCACTTTGGAAACAGGGCTGAAACAGAGGGGATTATGGGTAATGCTGCAATGATCTGTTTGGTGTTTCAGCCAATCAGAGACAGGCTCTGTATATATCTGAGAACTATAATATATTGATGAAAAACAGTATAATAGGGGACCTTTGAAGTATTATCGTATCTGAGGTTCTGCCAGTGTAATAATTAAGGAGACTATAAGACCCTCTCCTCTCCTCTCCTCCCTCCTCCCTCAGGTCTGTCTCCCAGGAACAGTCTGGAGGTTTTGACTCCAGAGATCCCTGGAGAGAGGGACAGAGGGAACTGCATCACGTCTCTGCAGCTGCACCCGAAGGGCTGGGCGGCGCTGATCCGCTGCTCCAGCAACATGGACGACCAGGAGGTACAAAAACATCCTCATGTTTATTCATCTGAAGTTAGATACCTGTTAATGCATCTAGATCAGGGATGGGCAACTTGGATGGTGGTGGGGGCCACATCATTTATGTACTGGCCACCAAGGGGCCGCAGATTCACTTGAAACACACACACACACACACACACATGCATATAAACACACAAATTCCATGTATTGTATGTAATTATTAACAAATATGTCTTTCATTGACATTTTTCAATCTTTCAGGGAACATCCTCTAATAAGCTCACTAAACAAATATCAGTTCACAGACATGTTATTTCATTTTTACAAGTGGCATGTTTGTATTGAACAGGTTATTTAACAGTGGAATAAAACTATTTTAAACTTTTGGAAAGCACGGGAAATGTGTGTGCGCTAGTGGAGCCTCGCAGATGGGGGTGCTGCAGCCCCCTCAGGAGCTCCAACAAGCCGTGTAGGATAGAGAGTGAATACACATACTATACAGAGATGCTGTGAGAAACCAATGTGAGTTTGGAACATTGAACAATGTAAATCTATTCGAGTAGACCTCAACAATGGAGTTATGATCAATAGAAATGGCCATGACCTGTAACGTCACAGCAGGCATAACAGCCGGTGTTTCTTGTGAGTGTTTCCATGGGAATATTTGCCCATCCCTGATCTAGATCTATGCAACTTCATCATTATTCTGCGTTTATTTAGGAAAACCAACAGACATCTGCACGTCCGCTGCAACCATCAGTTATTTAAATTACAGATTTTCATTTTTGCAGTTGCATTTTTATACATTTTAATATATTGGTTTTTATTCTATACCAGCTTTTTAATATATATTCCTTTGACTTTTTTAAATGGTGTTTTACATGTGTGTTTTTTTGCTGTGAAGCCCTTTGCCTTGTGTTGAAAAGACCCCTGCCTAATCTAATCCGGCTACATTTACACATGCTTTGCTGTTAACCGATAAACAAGAATAATGATAATAATTCATTTAAATCTCCCCTAAAAGGAGTTGCAGTAAGGGATGCTTTACTATTAACCAAAAATTGTCATTTTTAGAGCACTAACGTTCTTCTTGAAACTTTGTCCTAAATCTTTTGTAAATGTCTTACATTGTGCTCTATAACCCCCCCTCTCTCCAGTGGACCTGTGTGTACGAGTTCCAGGAAGGCGCCCCCTCTCGCCCACTGGTCTCCCCCCGCTGCTCGCTCCGCCTCACTCACTACATCGAGGAGGCCAACGTGGGCCGGGGCTACATCAAGGAGCTGTGCTTCAGCCCCGACGGGCGGCTCATCTGCTCCCCGTACGGCTACGGCGTGCGGCTGCTGGCCTTCGACGAGAGCTGTGGCGAACTGTCCGACTGCCTGCCCGTGCAGACCTCCGTGCTGAGGGAGATCCGCTCGCTCTACTCCCACAGCGACGTGGTGCTCACCACAAAGTTCTCCCCCACGCACTGCCAGCTGGCCTCAGGGTGTCTCAGCGGCCGCGTGGCCCTCTACCAGCCCAAGTTCTAACGGAAAGAACCGCGATCTGCAGACCTGGGGCAGAAACACTGATCAGGGTTCATGTGCAAGTGGAGAAACGTCCAGAAATAGTCGATTTCTACGATTTCTCTCTACCAGCCCAAGTTCTAACAAAAAGAACCACGCTCTGCAGACCTGGAGCAGAAACACTAGTCAAGGCTCAATCACTCAATCTTCATTGGTTCATGTGCAGGTGCAGAAAAAGAGTCAATTTCAAAGGTTTTAAACTCCTAAAATCTAAAATATGCAGATGTCTCTTGTGCAAAGACTAGGATTAACCAGGACTGTACGCTACTTAGTTAAAAACGTTTAAAACTTGGCACAAAAATGAGTCAAAAGCACGACTTTAAACCTTGCTTTTGCAGAAGTTGCAGAAGAAGTGTATGACTAATCAACTTAGGAAGTATACCAAATCCACAAATGAGTCGAGTTTAAAAGGGTCAGCAACAACATTTATACCAATTAGTTTAATTAAATTGACAATATTGAGTTTAATCGCCAATAATTCTGCAAAAAAAAAACACTTTAAACTTTGCGTTACTTGGAAAAACGTCCTTAAGCATAAAAAAAGGAATGATCTACTATAGAAATAACCCAAAACCACAAAGAAGTCACCTTGTAAGCAGCCAGATCTAATGTCTAATTGTTAATATGGATTTTTTTGGTATACTGAAAGCAAAACAATCGAGGGATATTTCCCAATAAATCAAAAATCTTTAGGATCCCTGAATTACTTTTCCTAGCATTTGTTTTAAAGTGCTCAATTGGACCAGAAGTCTGGAGTATTTTAAATATTCTGCCTGATGTGTGATGTAAAAGGAAATATTTAGGTTTCTCTGCCACACAACTCTTCAAAAGCTCCTTCAAAAAGATCTAAAGATATTCAACTAAAGTTCTTCTGAACCCAGGTCTGCAGCTGTGACACAAACTAAAGAGGAAGAAGAGGAGGAGTGGATTTAAACTTTAAAAACGACATTTTTGGGGCTTTGCAAACAGACTCCTGAAAGCCCGACTGTTGAAGCTTAAAAAAAAACGTTGTGGATTTTTTTTCGTACTAAAATCGGGAGGAAAACTGATTTTGGAGACTTCCAGATGTTTCCGTCTCGGGATACAAACACTAAAAATGTTAATTTAACAACAACAGGAAGTGGCTGCGTGACGCCTTCTCTCCACAGGTGCTCCAAATCTGACCTTCGTAGTTAAAGGACCTCATCACACACACACACACGTTTCTCTTAGTTTTTACTGTTTTTTTTATTGTTGTCCGCACTTGTTCACGGTGTTTGTTTATTTGTTTCGTGTTAAAATTACTTCACAGTTTGTCCACTTTTAATCTAAATCCTCAAACAAAACATGTAATTTCATGAAAAGTATCTTAAAGTTTCCCACTTTGACATTCTTCAGACCCATTTCCAAGATAATACTCTCCTCAATTACATATGTCTTCTCTAATAAATACAGCTGACATTATTCTGAATCGTCCTTGATACATGAAGCCCCTTTTGTCCAACAATTTTAGTTTGCATCTGTTGCCTCAGCGTTGTTCGTTTAACCTTAAAATAGTAAATACTTTGACTTGTTTTTTCTTGTTTGATCACCTTGTAAATCACTGTTCGGCTTTTTCTCCCCCGTCCCTGTTTTGCATCAAATCCAATCCCAAATGGATGACTTCTACGGTCCCGCTGTTGTTCATTCTCTCTCTTTTAAACACGCTTTAGGAGCCCAACACACACACATGTTTAATTGTCTCATGCAGAATAGAAATTAGGTTGATTTAAAAGATAGATATTACTACTATGCATCTCTGTCTTTATGAAGATTCTCCCTCTTCTCTCCAGGAGCTTTAGATGCCAACATGTGTTTTGTAAGCTGGGAATTTAATTGAAACTATTATGGGTGTTAAAAAAACTTTTTTTTAAATTTGAATTTAATTTAAAACAATTAATTGACATTCTTTCGAAATACACTTATGCTTCTTGCAGAAAGGAAGCCGGTTAGCTCGACTTAGCTTAGCACAAAGACTGGAAACAGGGAAAAGTCTGTTTTAAAAAAAAACGTTGTTGTTTTTTTGTGATTTGATGTATTGGAAATATTATTATTTATACAGTACACCTTTTCGAATGTACTTTTTTGGCGCCTGGAGCACCACAAGCTTTCTAGTTCCATACAATTCAATTTATTTTTGAGTGAAATCTTCCCTTTTTAAGGCCTCGAATCATCACGTAATATCTTATATAACTGTATAACCTGTATACAATTGGAAATGTAAAAAATGTTGTTTTGGGAGGGTTACGGACCAGACTACTTCCTGGTTGATAACAAATCAACTCTCTGGAGTGAGACAACAAAGAAACAGTCCGGGATGTAACCTTCCTCATTAAATCTTGTTTTAACATTTCAGTTTTGGTACAAAATGTCAGAAATTCAAAAAAAGTGTCCATCCTAGTTCTCAAATTAAAAGGTGATATCTTTAAATGTCTTGTTTTATCAGTAAAAAAACCCCAAAGATATTCACTTCAATATGATATCAGAGAAAAGCTCTGGATTTAGTAACTTAAGGGAAGCATTTAAAGACATTTTTGCATTAAATATTTTTTGTGTCAATCAACTAATCGTTTTAAACAGGTTTAGCTATTTCAAATGTATGCTAAGCTAAAAAACGTTGTGCTAAACTAAGCTAATAACTTTGTGCTAAGCTAATAACTTTGTGCTATGCTAAGCTAATAGCTGCTAGGTGTGGCTTCGTATCAACCTTCTAAAAACGCACTGCAAGAGAGTGTAAAAAGGATATTTCCAAAAAACTTTTGAAAACAAAAAATACTGGATTTACACTTATTTAATTTGAGGTGAAAATAAGAAAATCTTCTGAACATAGGTAACTCATATTATAATTTAAATTCCCAGCTCACGCCATGGTCCTGTTTGTAAAGAGGAAGGATGCTTTTCACACTTTGTACCTTTTTGTTTCAGTCTCTTCGTCTAATTTCAGTCAATTTAGGGACTTTTTTTCATGAATATTTAGCATTTGTAGCATATAAATATTAATCTGTCTGAACTGGGGTTTTTTCGGGCTGCCACGCTGTATAACGCTGTCATGTTTTATCTGCCATTTTCACTTCAGGTATTGCAACTGAAAAACTGGGATTATTTTTATGATTTTGATCTATTTTTGTTATTTTTTTAATGTCCCACTCTGGGTTTTTTTCTTTGTGGATTCATTGAATGTTCTCGATGGTTTCTGGTGTCACGTCTTGAGGACAAGAGACGAAGAACTTATTTTCTCTGTTTCCTAAACTGCTTAAAACTGAAAGTAATCCCGACAATGAAGCTGAAATGGTACTTATTATCACTGAAATAAAAAGGTTAGCTTGTTTTGCACTGCTTATTGTTTGAGTCCAGTTTGTGTTGTTCTTCAGGAGAAAAGGGATAGTTTGGAGGTTTTAAAAACAACAAGGCTTTCCTACTCTCGGAGTGTGCCCTCATACCAAAACGTAGATTTCCCCCGTAAAATGTTATTGTGATGCCAGAAAAAAATATTTCTGTTCTTCAAAAACGGTATAATTACTCCAAAAATATAAAAATGTTGTCAAATAGAGCGTCAGACGGCAGAGAAAGCTTTGTTTTTACGGAGCTCCGACGTCACGTTGTTGTTTACCTTTGCGGCGCCATCTTGTATACGGGCGTCATGATTTATCTTGTATCAGAGCCACAGTATAGAGCGGTGCAGGGATGACGTATTTACCCGGAAGTAAGCTGCGCATGGGTTCCCTCGTCAAAAAAGCAATGGGATTTCTCCATAGGATTTAGGAAATAGCGCGAAATAATAATAATAAATTGTAGTGCGATAGCGCTTTTCTTGAACCCAAAGACGCTTTACATTTGGGAGGGAGGTTAGACAAACAAAACAAAAACAAAGCCAAAAAAAAACAAAACAGAAAAGTGGTCAGGAGGAAGTTGGTTGAGAGGGGGGGCGGCTTATGGATACAGAGTTGAAGAGGTGGGTTTTGAGGCGGGACTGGAACAGGGTGAGGGACTCAGACTCACGGAGGTCTTGGGGGAGGGAGTTCCAGAGCTTCGGGGCTGCCACAGAGAAGGCTCTATCCCCGAAGCTCCGGAGTTTGGCCTTGGGGATGGAAAGCAAACCGGCTGAGGTGGATCTGAGGGACCGGGGTGGTTGGTAGAGGATGAGGAGTTCAGTGAGGTAGGGGGGGGGGGCCAGATGGTGGAGGGCTTTGAAAGTGAGGACCAGGAGTTTGTAATGGATGCGGTGTAAAACGGGCAGCCAGTGGAGTCCTTTGAGGACCGGGGTGATGTGATGCCATGATTTGGTGTGGGCGAGGAGTCTGGCGGCTGCGTTCTGGACACGCTGGAGTCTACTGAGGGGTGTGGAGCTGATGCCGTAGAGAGGAGTGAGTTGCAATAGTCAAGGCGGGAGGAGATGAAGGCGTGAATGAGTCGCTCAGCTGCAGGGCAGGTGAGAGAGGGACGGAGTTTGGCAATATTGCGGAGGTGGAAAAATGAGGTTTTTACAACTTGACGGATGTGGGGCTCGAGGGAGAGGGTGGGGTCAAATATAACGCCAAGGTTGCGTGCCTGGGTGGAGGGGGAAACAGGGGTGCCATCAATGGTGACTGTCAGGTTGGGGGTTTTGCTGAGGGTGGATTTGGAGCCGATGAGGAGGAGTTCAGTTTTATTGCTGAAATAAGGTCTGTGGAAAACGAACCTGTTTGATAAATGCACGTTTTGTTCAGCCGGATAATCTCCACATGTCTACCCTGTCTCTATAATTTTCGAATAATCAAAAATGTAATCGCCAGAAGCAAAATGCTAACGTTATGCTATAAAGGAACTACAGCAGGGTCGCTGCTTCAACGTCATGCCAACTTCAGATCCATATTCAAAACACACAGATTCAAAATGGTCCAAGTTGAAGAGTTTGTTTGAACAGTTTGCAGGAGGCAGGGGGTGTTTCTCAATCGCGAGGATGCTGGCTTGGTAGTCGCGTACTTCCAAGTCACTTCCTTCAGAAACGAAGCCAGTATGCTTCCAAGCCACGGCTTTGGAAAATGAAGAAGAATGGAACAGACTAACAAGTGTGCCACTCTCTAACGGTTTCAACATAAACTGTACCGAAAATAAATACGATGTCTATCTAATTATGAACTTGCTTTACTTTCACAGAACACATTTTTGGTGATAACAAACAAATGTAACAAAGTAACATATTTACCAACACATGTTCTACGCCACTACATACTTACATTTAAATGTGCTGCGTCGGTTCAGCCATTCTCCGCAAGGTTTTTTTAAATTGGTCCGTGCGCAAAGCATTGTGGGGATTTTAAGGACGCGAAGTCGATTACCCTCGAAATTTCCCCCAAACCAAGGACACGGCCTCGGTGGAATTCCAAGTATGCTGGAGATTGGAACAGTCCTTCGGCGGCACTCGATGACGTAGCATCCTTGAAATATTGGCTTGGAAGCCAGAATCCTCGAGATTGAGAAACGGCCCGGTACTTGCTTTCAAGCAGAACAGGGCAAACAAACTTAGAGGAGTGTTTACGTGTTCGGCGTAATGACGTACAACGGCCTCGACAACTTCTGTAGTCCTATTCAGCCACTTGGTAACAACCATCGTTTTTCAGACACGTCAACTCTTCAGAAATCACCAGTGGGGTCACAGCTGATGGATTTAATGTCGAAGAACAAAACGTGATCGGTCTCTTCAATGTGTCTCAACCACAGACCTGATTTCCAGATATTTTATGAGACGAGGGAACAGGAAGTGCTAAAATGCTAAAAACTCACTACTTTGTTTTAGGACTTGTCACCACTCTATTACACCTGCAGGATTGTCCCTCAAAAACCCCTGTATAGTTTGTCGGGGGAAAAAAGTCATTGTGTAGTATTTTGAAAATACCAATACAAAAGTAAAAAGCTTCAACCTGTGCACAAAGACCAGACAGATCATTTTAGGGTTAGAAACATGTGTAGTTTGTACTTTATTCACAAATCAAAAGTCAGTCCAATACGGCACACTGTTCAGTTCACATGAAATCAACACAAAGGCGACAACCTTACCTAGCAACAGCAGCAACCACAACAACCAGAGAATACTTAACAATAATAACAATGATAATTTAGGCAAAAACAAAACTTACCGTCATTCTAAAACAATAACAAATGTGCACCACTATGTGCAGTAATGAGCGATTACATGATGTGTACTGTAGCCTTTCTAAAGCGTAAAACCTATGACTTGATGGTGTCTTTTGTCAAATGCCAAACCACTTTTCCATGAACACAAAATGAAAAGTGAATTATTAAAAACCAGGAGACATCTCAAGCGCCCAGCATCTTCTTCACCATGTACCCCGGCATGTTGTAGAGGAACAGTCCCAGGATAGCCAGCAGAAGGAGGACAGAGACGATCTTGATGGTAAGCCACCTGTACTGGTCACAGATCAGGTGTTTCGCTGCTTTGAAAGGGATGAGGAACCACAGGAGAGCGATATCTGGACGGCTGGGGGGGCACAGAGACAGAGAGGGTGTTAGAAACTTAAACAAATATTGGTTTAAAATGGAATATATGTATGTCATGAGTTAATAGGCTTTATTACACGCAGGGGCGCCGCCAGGGATTTTGGGCCCCATGAAAAGATAATCACTTTGGTTACTTAAACATTTTTTTCTTAATGTTCTAAAATAGTTTGGGCCCCTGTCAGTCACGGGCCCTTAGAATCGTCCTAACTTTTCACCCCTTAACGGCGCCCCTGATTACACGGCAGAGTTGAATACTCAATTCTTATTAGTCAATTTGGTTGTTCAGTGTTCTGCTCTTTCTCGATAGCAGACCGTTGCTAGGAATAACAGACCGTTGCTATGGACACTTTGATAAAGGGACTATGTGCTGTAACTTCAATCCGCAGAAAAATAACCGGACAATTATCATTATAATTCATGATGGCTGAACCGTCCCCAGTCAAGAACAGAAAGACAGTGTCTTAATTTGGATATTTATTTTAGTAACACTGTATGTCGTACACAGAACTAGTGTCTGAGTTTCGACCGTGTAGTTTTGTCTCAAATCGCACTCGGCAGATCGCACAAACAAGGCACATGCCCCTTGATTTTGGAGGGTTACAGACCAGACTAATTCCTGGTTGGGATCAGAAACTTGATCGAAATGAGACAACAAAGAAACAGTCTGGGATATAACCTCCTTAAATGGCAATATCTTGTTTTACCATTGCTATCGCTAGAACAGACTATCCCTTAGAACGAGGGATTGATTAGGTATAATAATGAATAATGCGTGTTATTTATATAGTGCTTTTCCTGGTGCTCAAAGTGCTCTACAGGCAAGTAAAGAAAAATAACAACAAAACAAAAAGTGCTAAACCAGGTGGAATAGGGGCGAGGGGTTAATGGATTAGGAGTTGAAGGCAAGAGTGAAAAGGTGAGTTTTGAGGGCTTTTCTGAATGACGTGAGAGTGGTTTGTTTCTTTATCATATACACATTTAAATTGTATTTATATATAATATTTGCAAGAGAATGCGAAGAAGAATTGCCTGAAGAACCTCCAGGCAAAATGTACGCTTCTACTTTATTCTGCGAGCTGAAATGCATCTGATTATATGACACATTAATGATGTTCCTTCAGTTTCTGAATGCACACACATACGACAGATAAAGACACGTAGAGTAAATACAAATGACAGGACAATTAGAAACTTGTGTTCATAGGTCAATTTATGGATGTATTTGAAATATACACAGACGCTTAAACAGGACGTAATACAAGCAACAACTCCAACACAAATCCTACATCAAGTTAATTTAACTGGAGTAAAGAAACATAATAGTGCACTTCAATAATTTCCGTCTAATTGCACGACATTCACAAAGCAATTCCAATTCAAACTAAATGCACAAAGTTATCCTCTGCTGGTTTTTCACTTCTTTTAGACGCCCATCATCTTCTTCACCATGTACCCCGGCATGCTGTAGAGGAAGAGTCCCAGGATGGCCAGCAGCAGGAGGGCAGAGAACAGTTTGATGGTGAGCCACCTGTACTGGTCACAGATCAGGTGTTTCGCTGCTTTGAACGGGATGAGGAACCAGAGGAGGGCGATATCTGGACGGCTGGGGGGGGGCACAGAGACGTAAACACAGAGTTACAGGCAGAAAATAACATGGAGTAAACACAAAGAGTCATTTTTGAGGTAATTCCCATTCCTAAACTGTCCATTTTCATGTTGGGAATCATTTTTTAATAGGTCATAAATGTCTATTTATGTCAAGGATGCTCAGGGATGTATATTAATTATACTGTACTGACAGAGGACAGAGGATTTGTCTATTCTTTCCTTAAAGCTCT